GGCATCTGGTCCTGGATTGCTGGGAAAGGCTGGCAGGGGCCCAGGTGTAGGAGTAGAGGGAGCTCAGTGCCCGCCAAGCTATGGCAAGCCACGGGTCATTCATTCCACAAGTAATTTGAGTCACAGTGCTAGCTACTGAGGGAACATCAAGAGAGACAGAGGTCCTGCTCTCAGGGAGCTGATGTTCTGGAGGGGGAGACTAACAAAAGTAAACATATAGGCATCATGAAAGAAAGAAACAGGGCCCTTTGAGAGAAAACAGGTGGTTTTTTTTCAGAAAGTATGGACCAAAGAAGTTAAACTGAGAAGGGGGGGTGGGATGAATTGGGAGATTGGGACGGACATATATACACTACTGTGTATAAAATAGATAACTAATGAGAACCTACTGTATAGCACAGGGAACTCTACTCAGTGCTCTGTGGTGACCTAAATGGGAAGGAAATCCAAAAAAGGGGATATATGTATACATATAGCTGATTGACTTTGGTATATAGCAGAAACTAACATAACATTGTAAAGCAACTATACTCTAATAAAAATTAATAAAAAGAGAAAGAAAAAGAAAGAAAGAAAGGGAAATAAAGAAAAACTGAGAAGGAGCATACCATTTAAAGAGGCAAGGGAAGGCAGAGGAAATCGCCAGTGCCAAGGTCCTGAGGTGAGAAAGCTTGGGGATTGGGGGCAATAACAGAATACCCTTGTGACTGTTGACAGAGGGGAGGGAGGCAGGAGAAATGGGAAGGGGGTGAGGCAAATGATACAGGGCCTTGTGGTTAAGGAGTATAGCTGGTTCCAATTTCAGGTGTGTAAGAAATATAAATTGAATTTTCTCTAACTCAACTGAATTCATCTTTGGCTTCACTCAGCCAGAGTGGCAGAAACTTAACTGCAGTCAATTCAGAGTTCCCCATCACTTTGCTCAGAATTGGTTGAATTCTAGGGCACTTCCTTTGAAGACGCCAAAGCCTGGGCAGGGTAGTCTGATCTGATGGTGTCTGGTCCAGTCACACTAGCATCCCCTGAGACGTGCTAGTTTTGTACTGGTTTTCTGTCTTCAGCCTGCTCAGGATGCTGCTGAGTTGCTCCTTCCTGACCCATCCCCCTCTCGGTATTCAGATTCTTACTCTACTTTTTCCAGGCCACTCAGGCCCAGGAAATTCCTAGGGTCTTGGGTTAGGCCCCGCTGTTTTGCCCCAGTGCAGCGCACAGCTGTTTCTTCAGAGGGTTTTATTACTTCTTGGTGCTCCACCAAGGAAAGGAGCACAACTCTTCCTGCTCCCCGGGCCCTGATGCCCTCTAGCTCAGAGGCTGAGGAGAAGCTTCTCTATTCTCAGGGACCACCCCCTAAAGTCTCAGTCTCTCAGATCCCCCTTGTTACAGTTTTCTAAATTTGGATCTGCACAGATAATTCTTTCTGTTCCTCCCTGAAGGCAAGCCTCTTGGAATTCGGAAGCAAAAAATGATCTCTGCATTCTGTCGTATCATTTGTTTCCTGGCGTAATGTATGCAGAGTATCCTAACTACCTGCACAAGGGAAGGGTGGAGGGACACCAAGGAAAAGATGAAAAACATATTTCAAAATGTCATCGTCCCATCGGAGTTTGGGTTTTGTGCTCATTGCTGCAGCCTTTGTTCAAGCCCGCACATACACCAATGTGGGGATCCCAGTTGCTGACTGAGCCCCCCGGAATTCTGAGTGCTCAGGTGGGATGGCATGCCCCCTCCTCTCCCTCCCCTCCAGGCCTTGGAGAGAAGAGTACAGGATGCTCTCTCATTTGGGAGGAGACGACTCCCAGGGCTCTGAAGAGAGCTGGGTGGCCTATGGCTTGAAGTTCAGATCTCCTTGGGGGCCACACGAGCGATGTGACATCTCCAGCTCTCAGCTGGATGGGACTTGCAGGAGAGCATCCAGTTCAGTGAGTTCCAGTCTGGCATCCCCAACTGAAGGGCCCCTGAGGGCAGCAGGAGTCCCTTGAGTTCTTATCAGTGTTCCAGAGGGACCCAGAGAAACAGCACATAGTATGTGAAGGTTACCCAAGTGAGCTTGGTCTCCGCTTCAGGCTGGAGTTATACCAACTGCGTGGTGGTCACACTGGCTTGCTCCTCTTGACCACAAGCTCTTATGGCTGTTAATACGAGGCTGTAATGAATAAAAGGGAAAAAATGACTTGATGCAGGTTGTACGGGAGACAAAATCTTACCAGACATGAGGCTCATGTGGATGGAAAATACTAAAAGAAGCTTTCAAGGTGAGAAGGTTGGGAATCACTGATCCAATCCAAGTCTGTCATTTTACAATTGAGGAAACTGAGGCCCACTTTCCTCAGGTGGAAGGTGGAGGCATCTGCCACGTCCTGTGATTAAGGTAATGGCAGCATGCCAAGATGGTCATCACAGGTAGCTACTGCTTGTTGAATCTCACTGTGTGCCAGGCCCTGTGCCAGGGGCTCTATGTGCTCCAGGAGGGCAGAAGTGTGGTCTGTTTGGTCCCACTGGATCTCTAGCATCCAGCTCAGTGCTCTGCACATAGCAGGCACTCCATAAATCTTTGTGGAATGAATGAATCATCTCATTTCATCCTTACAACAACCCTGGAGGTTTATATTAGTAGCCCCATTTTACAGATGAACAAACAGGCCCAGAGAGGTGAGGTGACTTGCTCAAGGTTGAAGAGCCAGTGAAGAGGAGGGTGGGGATTTGAACTCAGGTCTGTATGCCTGAAACTCGATGATCTTCACTACTGCACTACACTATCCTGCCTCTCAGCCCTCCTGATGCTGGTAACCGGGTAAGATAAGCGGTGCCTCTGCTCACAGTGGTGGTACCCAGCCTCCAGGTGTGGGCCTGGCACTCGGAACTTGCCATACCTTGGGTCTAGGGGCTTGGCCACAAAGAGAAGTCAGAAGTCAGCCAGTAGGAAGGGTTCGCTGGGTTCCAGAAGCCTGAGGAAGCTCCCCAGGGTTGAAGGTCTCCTCCTCTCCTGTAATAGGCAGATCTGCTGGTACATCCTCAAGCAACCATCTCATGCTGTTGTGACAGGCGTCACTTTGTTATGGCAGCACTGTCTGCCAGCATGCCCAGAGTTGGAGAGCCGGCAGGAGAGTATGTCACCGTGTGTGTGTGTGCACGCGCGTGCGCACACACACACGTGTGTGATGCAGCGGTCTCCTCCTGTTGGTGTCCTGGTGACAGTTTTTCATTTCCTCTGGCTGGCACCTTTCCTTTCTATTCATTACCTCTCCTACTCCTCTCTTTCTCTTCCTCCTCCTCCTCTTTGTTAAAATTCTGTATTTTGAATTGGCTGAGAGCCTCCTGAGGGTGGGGATGGTGGTGTCAGCTCTAAGTGATTCATCTAGCTGATAATTAGAGCTCTGGAAAACCCAACACTCATTCCTGTCAGTCAGGGCTTCCGGAATCCCTAGGCTTTTCACTTTGTCAGAGAGAGGAGCTTGGGGGGCTGGGCCGCGCTTCTTTGTGCCTGACTTTCTGTCCCCCGCTGCATTGAAGCTCGGTAACTGAGAGAACTATGAGCACTCTTATTCGCCAGGTCCCGTGAAAAGCCCTTTCCACACTCACTGGATCCTCACAGTGATCCCACCAAGTGTTATCCCTATGTTGACAGATGGGGATAACTTGCACATAGTCACTCAGCTTGTAAGGGACACAGCAAGTACTCAAATCCAGCCTTTTTGGAATCTGCCAGACTTGGTTCATATCACAGCCCTGCCATTATTAGCTGTTATGTGTCTTTGGACAGTTTACCTCCCCTCTCAGAGCTCTAGCTGCTTCATCTGTGAACAGACTCCTTAACGTGGATGTCTCTAAAGTGCTTAACACAGTGTGTGACATCATACTGGAGCTGTTTCTATTACTACTGTTATTCAGTCCCATCAGCTCAGTGTGCACTAGGCATTCAGAGACAAAGAGATGGACACAGGAGGAAGCAGCAAGACTCACACCAACTCTCACGTCCTGGCACTGCCTGTGTGGAGATGACAAATGCGTGCATACACGTAAATGCCTGGCCACACACCCTAGGAAAATCCAGCAGTGTGCACACAGCCTTGGACACATGTGCCCACATGGATACAGAATGACACAGCTGGAAAGACACCCGGGAGTTAGACAGTCATATGCAGCAAGCACCCTGGCTCACACCTGGGAGACAAAGGAGTGGGTCCATGGTGGCTGGTGCCGGCACCACGGAGCCCTTCTAGCTGCTTCTGCATGCCAGCGGAGGGAAGCCAGGCTCTCAGAGGGCCCAAGTGAGTCACCAGCCTGATGCAATCCCTTTAAAGGGCTCATCTGCTGGTGCAAGAAGCTGATTCATGGAGGGCGTGGTTGCTGGAGGAGGAGGAGAAAGGGACCGAAACTGCAGCAGGAGGGGCTGAGGTTAGGTGGCTGGAATCGCTAACAGGAACTCTTCACTGTTAACCTCCCTGGTCGAGACTCTAGGGATCTTCAGACTGAAGCGTGGTTTCTACAAAAGCGAGGGCCCCGGAGGGAAATGAATTGTGAAGGCTATAACAGGAATTCCTATCATTGATTGAGCCTCACGGCAGCGCTCGCCGCACAAAGCTCCAGAAACAGAGAAATGGGGGTCAAGGAGGAGCCACTTTTCTGAGAAATACACTACAACTGGCCGACCTTTCAACTGCTGCAGACATCTCCAGACCCGGGAGGGCGAGGGTAGGGCACGCGAGGCTCAGTGGAGTAGGGGCGGGGGCGGTGCCTCCGGCCCCACCTCACCGCAGACATAGCTAAGCAGTAAGTACCGCCCCCTAAGGTCTCTGTGTCCAATCGTTTCCAAGATTTCGGCTCGGACCCTACCCTGAACCAATCCTCAATCGTATTCTGGCCTCTTGCCTGAAGGCTTCCGCCCATTGTCAAGATGGCCCCCAATCCCTGCGCCGTGGGCTGTAGCTACGAGCAAGGGGCGGGGATGCGGCTCGTCCGGGAGGAGGGGGCGGTGCGTCACTTCCGTTGTCAGGTGGCGGCGCCGCAGCCATGGAGGGAGGCGGCGGTAGCGGCGGCGGAGGCTCGGGCAGCTGCGCCGGGAGGCGACGGTGAGCGGCTCCCACGCCCCTGGACCGGCCCCGGCCCCCCGGGACGGAGCGCTGAGCAGCCCCGGCTCCGGGCTACGGACTATGGGCGAGCAGCGCTGAGCACCGGGGGAAGGTGAGGGCAGGGGTCCGGGAGCGGGGAGCCGGGCCGGGGGTGCGGGTTGGTGGGGCGGGCCTCAGCGGCTGTAGCGCGGGGACAGGGGTGACAGCCTGAGGCCGTCCGGCTGCGACAGAAATGGCAACAGCGATTGTGCCGTCCTCCGCTGTGGTCTGCCCTTCTCGGGCGGCGGGGGCGGGGGCTCCTGCGCGCCGGGTACCCGGTGGCTTGCGGGGAGTCTCGGTCCCGCCGCAGCCCTGGGAGGTGGCACTGCCAGCCTTGCCAGGAGTCACTCGGCCAGTCAGTGAAGGCGCCGGATTTGAACCAGCCAGGTTTTTCCCAAGAGACACCCTCTGCCTCTCCACGCTGCCCTCCTGATCCCGAGAGGGACATGAAAGTTGAAACGAGTCCCCAGATAGGACTAGCCCGGGCTTCCTCCAGGAGCCCTCACCCGTTGGCACGGGCACCATCGCTGCTGGGGAATTTTCGGATCCCGGGAGGTGTTCAGGTGCGGGTCAGAGCTCTCTGCTTGCCGGTGCTGCGTTTGGCCGGCCTTTTCCAAGGAGAGAGCCTGCTGCTATGGTCACTGTTTCACCTGCTGTGCCCTCTCAGGCCCGCCCATTCCCACGCCGCTTGGCACCACCTTCCAGCCAGTAGATGGGGGCATCGGGATTCCCGACTCTGCCACCCCCGCTTCCTAGGTTTGCTCCCCGTTTGTTGGCGGAAGGAAGAGATGACAGCCGCCTTCGCTGTCAAGATAGACTTTGCTCTGTATTAAGTCACTGGAGGAAACCGGTTGGCTTTGCTTGGTTTTGAGAGCAGTGAAGAAGAGGGTAGTCACTCAGGGCTGGGCGCCTTCCCTCTTGGCTTAGCTTTGCATGAGATAAGGAAGAGCAGGATATGTAATCGTCAGGCCCAAAGAACCCCTGTTTGTAAACAGTGCTTGTGAGCTGGGCCAGTGCTTGGTGGCCCTGCTGTGCCAGTTGTGTGTCCCTTAGATCTAGACAGTGTCGAGATAGCCCTCGTTCGTTCATTCATTCATTCATTCATTCCCCACGTGACAGCAGCAATGTCCTTGCCTGGAGAGGCAAGTACCCTATATTACAGAGGTTAAGAGTGGGCTTTGGAGCCAGAATTCCTGAGTTCAGATTCTAGCTCTGCAGCTTTGTAGCTGTGTGACCTTGGGCACATTGTTTAACCTCTCTGTGCCTCAGTGTTCTCAGCTATAAAACAGGGGTGATAACATAGAGTTGTTGTGAAGATTTAAAAAGTTAACACATGTAAAACACATAGAACCATGTCTGCCACGTAATAAGAGTTCAATAAATGTTAGCTATGCTTATTCTTATTTCAAGGAGCTCACAGTCTGGTTAAGGGAGACTGACCTGTAAATGAACAGTTGAAACGTAGTCTTGAAAAACTAGTAACAGCAAGAACAGAGGGCTGTGGGAGCCCAGGGAAGGAAACTTCTAGCTCAGCCTGAGTTGGGCGGGGCGGGGGGAGGTTTTGGGGAGGCTTGGAAGAAGTGATGATGCTGGAGCTGCATCTAGAAGGATGGGAAGGCTCAGCCAGGTGAGAACAAAGGGGCAAGGTACTCCACTTAGACATGTCAACTCAGAGTTTTTCCAGAAACCTCAGATTGTTCAGTATGGTGGTATGAAAGGCGACCTGGTGCCAGGTAAAGCAGTACAGGTTGACAAGGGAATGCCACATTAACAATTTGGGACTTTGTACCAAGGGCAGTGGGGAGCAAGTGAAGAGGTTTTAAGCAGAGGAGTGTCGTGATTAGACTTGTGTTTTAGAATGCTCTCTCTGGAGCCTCAGCAGGAGGGAAGGGAGAAGAGAGGAGAGATTAAAGCACTGGAGACCTCTTCAGAGGCTACTGCAGGCCTCTGAGAGAAGAGAGATGGCGTGGAGTGGGGGATCTTTGCCGAGACAGCACTGCATGCAACTCGTTGCAGGTGACAAGCTCCCTGCATTGCCCTGGGCAGCTCTCCCTGCCCCAGAAGTGCCTGGCACATGTGCCCCTCTCTTCCTGAGATTGCAGGTCACTCGAGCAGCTGGGCTGGTGAGGCTGTCCTCTCAGAAGCTCAGTTGTAAGGTCAGTTGCTCCCTGGGGCTTTTAATTTGGCCTTTTGGGAAGGCAGCAGATTGTAGTGGTTAAGAGCCTATTTGGTTCTGCTGTCAGACAGAATCTCAGTTCAGATCCCAGCCCTGCCAGTTCAGTAGAGATTACTTATTCTTCGGTTCCCAGCTTTCTCAGCTGAGGAAAATATGGGCAGTAAGAGTCCTTCCCTTGTAGGGCAGTTGTGAGGATTCGGTAAGATGTTGCAGGGTGGGCATTTAGCACACACTGAGTTAGAAATGCTTGGTAGATGTTAGCTGCTGTCGCAGAGGCTGCAGGAAAGGCCTTCTAAGAATTAGTTGAAGCAGTTAATGGCAACTAAAACTGTGTCCCGTTGAGCTGTCAGAAATGTCCTGAGGGATCACAAGACCACAGGATTTTATTGTGTTCTCTCCAAAAAAGAAATCTGTGGGGAATTTACCGAGTCTGTATGGGAGCCATGCAGATGATTCAGCTCAGCTCTTTAAAAGAACCATTTTTTAAAATAGAAGTAGGACTGCTGAGGAAAAAAAAAAAAAATCATGTTTTAAAGTATACTAGGAGAAAAAGTATTTATAGAGTTTGTTCCATGTGTGTCCCTGTTAGTGACCCTAGTCTGTTATCTGAATTAGTACCATCAGAAAGCACACATTGATGTGTGTGGTGACTTAAAATCTGGAACCCCTGTTCCACACACATGAGCTCCCAAGCGTGGCTGAGGATGTGCTGGGTGCCAGGTGCAGAATGAGAATGGCGAGACACGCCCTGCCCTGGCAGAGCTTGTGGTCTAATGGGGACCAGGCAGGCTTCTAACCAACTGACATTTGCATAGAGTTTGGTGAGTGTCTCATAGGAGTCTGTGCAGCATGTAGTGGGAGTGAGATGAAGGAGTGATTCTCCTGGGGGATGGGGAGGTGACTGGGGAGAACTTTGGAGAGCCCTTAGAACCTGAGCTGGATCTTGATGAAAATTGAATCTTGAAGGATGAATAGAGCTTTCTGAGGGTTCATGAGGCACTCCAGGCAGGGGAGCAGCAAGGCACGGGCATGGATGCAGGCTGGTGTGTGTGCACATTGTAGGAACCACAAGAGGTTCTGGCACAGGGCATGAAGGGACCTGGCTTTAGGACATGCTGGAGAGGTAAGCATCAGTGCTAAGATGCTTGAACTTCTTATTCTGTTGGTGATGGGATGCCTTGGCTTAAGGGAGGAAACACCGTTAGACCTGCATCTTGCCAGGAGCCCTCTGGCTGGCGGTGGGGGATGGACTGGGGATAGAAGAAGTCTGGAGTCTCTGTAGGAGGCTTTTGCAGTAATCAAAGTAAGGGCTGGTGGGGGCCTGGATCAGGGTAGACGCAGTTGGGATGCGGAGGAAGGGCATAGATCAGAGCTGTTTTGGGGGAAATCAGCTGGACTCCGGGAGTGTTTGGCAGTGATGATTGAGGGAGGAGCAATGATGGCAGGTGACCTCGAGCTTCCCGATTTGGCTGACAGAGTGAACGATAGTGCAGATGTAGAGACGGCAGAAGATAATGGCCAGTGAAATCCGCCAGCTGCATTCAGTAAGCCCTCTCATGGGAGAGGGTCAGTTGCAAAGTCGGTGGCACTCTGTCCAGCTTCGGGCCAGGCTTGTCTCTGGCTTTGCCTGCGTCAGCCCAGCGCCTGGGGAAAGGGCAGCTTCGCTTCCTTCATCTTCCCTCTGCCCAGATTTGCCCAGGAAGGCGAACTCCTTCAGTATTCCAGAAACTCAAGTGGCTGAGTCTCCTGCACAACTCCTGTGACTTCCACAGCCCTCAGACGGCCCTAAAGGGCAGCCCTTCAGTCAGGTGCCATCCACACTGATTCAGCAAGTGATGGGTCCTGGACAGCAGCATGCCCTCAGGGGAGAGATGGCCGTTCCCAGTGCTCCTGGGGAGATCTTATCTAGAAAGAGACCCTGAGGTTGGATTTACTCCAGAGGCTGTGGGTCAGCCAACTTGCTCCCTCTTCTCTGGAAGGAGAGATGTCTGCCCCAGGCCACCTGGGACTCACTCAGAACCATCAGGGAAGTGAGAGGGAGCTGCCTTTGTGCCCTTATCCCCCTGAGCTCTACAGGAGTGCAGAGCTAGGCCTGAATCAGACTGGGCTGCAGAGAGGGATGTGCTGGTAGAGGGGGCTTCAAACAGGCCCTTTGGAATTGGGGAGATTTTTGCAGGATTTGTCCCTGCATTTGTGGTGTAAAGAAGGTAGAAGGGAAAGTGGCCTGAGACAAGGGCATTTCTTCCTCCTCCACCTGCTCAGGTGAGACTGTGGCCTTGAAGGTGGCCCCGGGACCATAGCAGCCCTGCGTCTCCTCTCGGGATCTGTAATCAAAATCCGAGAAGGGAAAGGATGGTGTTGCTTGCTTTGATTTACTTACTGTCTTAGAGATGTTTCCACTTTGTCTCATGCACGTCTGGGTCATTTTTGGCAATATTGTGTCATTGTTTGTATAATTTATTCAACAGACTCTCTGCTGATGAACTTAGGTTATTTTCAGCCTTTTTTGCTCTCCAAACAAAGCTGAAGTGACTATCCGCATATGTGCAGTTTTTCCCACCTTAGGTATCTGCAGGATAAATTCCAAGAGGAGTTGCTGCTTCAAAGAGTATCCTTCATGTTCATTATTTTTAAAGTAATTTCTTGGCCCCCTTTTAATGAACTGGAGAAGCCTGATCTTCCCTCAGCAAAGCAAAGATACACTTTTGGGTTGACATCCCTCTTCCCAAGGGGCACTGAGAACCCCAGTGGCGGTCACCCTTTTCTGGCTCTTGGCGGTCTGTCTTGGTGTGAGTTGGGGTTCCCTAGAGCTTACACAGTCCAGCAGTCTACAGGTCTGATGGTTTCAAAGAAAATCTAGTTGTTGGAAAGCACCAGAGAAACTGAGAAGGGCTCTT